TTTTTGGTTCTTTTTGTATAGTGTTAATTTATCTGCTGACATTTCCTCTCAGTTCACTCATTAAGGCTGCCTTTTAAGCCTTTGAACATATTTATAATAGATTCTTTAAAGTCTTTCCTAAATGTAATATCTGTACCATATCAGGTTCTGTTTCTTTTCTTTTTTCAGAGACAGGGTCTCACTCTGTCAGCAGGCTGAAAAGTGCAGTGGCACAGTCATAGCTCCTACAGCCTACAACTCTTGGGCTCAAGTGATCCTTCCACCTCAGCCTCTTGAGTAGCTAGGACCACAGGCATGTACCACCGCACCCAGCTAATTTTTAATTTTTTTTGTAGAGACAAGAGTCTTGCCATGTTGCCTAGCTAGTCTCAAATTCCTGGCCTCAAGCGATCCTCCTGCCTTGGTCCCCCAAGTGCTAGGATTATAGGCATGAACCTGGCCCTCAGGTTCTGTTTCTATTAGTTGCTTTTTTTTCCCCCTTGACTGTGGGTTATCATTTCCTATTTCTTTGCATATTTAGTAAATTTTTTATACTGGACAATATGATCATATTCTATATTATGTTATCTATCTCTGGAGAGTATTAATTTTTGTTCTAGTAGGCTATGTACCTTGACCTTGTGCAGGCTTGTTTTTATGCATTTTAAAGGGTAGGTTTGTAGAAAGCCAATGTATTTTTCAAACTCTTCTAATTTGATACCATTTAGCCTCCAAACTCTGTCTCCTCTGTGGATTTTGTCAAGGCATGGCCTTAGACTTTTTTCGGGTGGGTCTAGAGCAGACTTTCATCTACAGTATGGTTTTCATTACTAGAGCATTATCTGTGGGGCATGTCAGCTAGACAATAGCAGTCTTAACAAGGTCTCCCCATTTCTAGCTACGCCTGAAGGCCAACATTTTTCAACACTGGAAAATCTTGCTAGTATCTTGTGACATTCTCAACTCCATAGCACCTGCTCTTTGAGGAATCATATGTAGTCTCACTCTCTGCATGGATAGTCCAGACCTTGGCCAAGGACTCATGGGGAGCTCGTACACATACTTTAGTACCCGACTCTGTGCAGCTCCCTCTTCTCCAGTGCCCTGCCCTGCAGATTCCAGGTACTTTCACAACTCCAAAATCTATTCTCTGCCGCCTCAGCTTAGTGGGACCACTGTCCTGTTCCGGTTCTGTAGATAGGAAAATTTCCCCAGGCAGACACCCAGGGCAATCACAGGACTAACCTGGTGACTTTCCCTTCTCTCAAGGGATTGTAACCTTGTGCTGTCTGTTGTCCAATGCCTGAAAACAATTGTCTCATATATTTTATCCAGTTTTATAGTAGTTTTTGGTTTGAGGGCTCATTTGGTTATTTCATTAATGCTGGGAGGAGAAACCCCAGTACGTGGTTTTGCTATGTGTTCATAATGTCATCTGATTGAAAATTTTCTATCTATTGCATCTTTAACAGTTGAAGACCTATGTGAAGAGGTAGCTTGATATTGATAATAATCTCTCATTCTTTCTCCTTGTCCCCACATGATCTCAGCAAAAACGTAAACTCATGTTTAAATGGACATGGTGGTTTGTTTAGTGGTTATTTGAGTGAGGACTTGTAGTTGGTAAACATTTTAAGTCTCTCATTTTGTAATGGTAGTTTGGCTCTGTTAAAAGTTCACATTTGGCTGGGTGAGGTGGCTCATGCCTATAATCCCAGCACTCTGGGAGGCTGAGGCAGGAAGATCTCTCGAGACCAGCCTGGGCAACATAGTGAGACCCTGTATCTACAAAAAATTACAAAAATTTCCCTAAGCAGTTTAATATAAAGAAAAAAAATTAGCTGGGCATTGTGTACACCTGTAGTTCTAGTGAGGCGGCAGGCTGAGGCAGGAGGATCCTTTGATCCCAGGAGTTGGAGGCTGCAGTGAGCTATGATCACACCACCGCACATAGCCTGGGCCACAGAACATGATCCTGTCTTGGATAGACAGATAGATGATTGATTGATTGATTGATTGATTGATAGATAGATAAAGTAAAAGAGTCCAGATTCAAAGTTATTTCAGATCTTTGAAGATAGTACTGGATTATCTTCTGGCATTTAGCATTGCCAACTCATGGGGTGTTTTTGCTATTTAATTTTTTTTTTTGGTAGCTTGTAGGGTTTTCTGCGTATCCTTGTTATTTTGGATTTCATTGTGATGTGTTAACTATGTAGCTTTTTAAATTTTTGCTTTTGCCTTGTTTTTTAGAAATTTATCATGCTTGAAGTTTGGTAAGATTGTTCAAATAGCACTTATATCTGTCTTTGTTTTATATTTCTCAGTCATTACTTCTTCTGGATCTATTTTTAATATCTCTTGCCTTTTCTTCTTTTAATTGATATAAAATTCATATAAACACAACCATTTTAAAGTATACAATTTAGTGGTTTTTAGTATATTTTCGGCGTTGTATAACTAATATTTTTTTTTGGCAGGGTCTCACTCTGTCACCCAGGTAGGAGTGCAGTAGCTTGATTATGGTTCACTGCAGCCTTGACCTCCTGGGCTGAGTTAATCCTCCCACTTCAGCCCTCCGAATAGTTGGGACTAGAGCTGTGCACCACCACACCTAGTTAATTTTTTGGTATTTTTTATAGAGATGGGGTTTCACCACATTGGCCAGGGTAGTCTCAAACTCCTGGGCTCAAGTGATCCTCCCGCCTTGGCCTCCCAAAGTGCTGGGACTATAGGCATCAGCCACTGCTTCTTGCCCGTATAACTATTATCACTATCCAATTCCAGTACATTTTCATTCTGAAAAAGAAACCGTGTACTCATTAGCAGTCACTCTGCTTACTTTCATTCTCTATGCCTTGGCAAACACTAATCTACTTTCTGTCTCTGTCGATTTGCTTATTTTGGACATCTCATATAAATGGAATCATACAATATGTAGCATTTTGTGTGTGGGTTCTTTAAGTATTATGTTTTCAAGGGTTTATCCATGTTGTTTCATGTCACAGTACTTCATTTCTTTTTATGGCTGAATACTCCCCATTTGGTTAAGCCATTCATCATTTGATGGACATTTGGGTTGTTTCTACTTTTAGCTATTATGAGTAATCTTGCTATGAGCATTCATGTACTAACTTTTCTTTTAAATTTGCTCTTTTACTGTGTCCAATCTAGCCATCCATACAGTTTTAATTTCAAATACTGAATCTTTAATTTCTAAGATTTCCTTTCTCTTTTTCTTTTCTTTTCTTTTTTTTTTTTTTTTTTTT